GGTGTAAAATAGTGCCACTCCATCAACGTCAATGGAGTCACCCCTGACTGACAGTGGGGCAGAATGCAGCTGCTTTGGGAGGCAGCAGGATTAGCATGGCATAAAAACTGGCCTGATTTGTCCCATAAGCTTCTCCAGCATCCTCTTCCATGACCTGGATAAAGCGCTTTCCCTGTGTGGAGGGGCAGAGTGCAGAAAAGGCACAGCACTCTCATGCTGTGAATAGTCCCTACATGCTTAGCGTGATGGAAACCTTGAAGCTGCTGCCTCGTTTGCATTGTCCTGGAGGGGGTTTGTGTTACTGCAGTCGGATATATGTAACCCTTGAATCCCAGCTGCAGTATGTGTGTGCCTCAGACAACATGGGGAATGGGCATCAGTTTGAGGCAGCAGAGTTAGGTGGGAGAGGAGTCAACCAGACTCTGGAACACTGAAATCTGGGCCTGATGGCGCATATGGGGAGGAAGGGGAAGAAGAGACTGGAGAGGCTGTTCTCCTGGTGCCTGCAGGAGGTCAAAGAAGGCAGGAAGCTGCCTTTCCCATTTGTCTCATTTGTAAAGCTCTAGCATCTCTGAGAAGCAACAGTCTCCCCCTCCGGGGGCTCTGACCCTTGTCTTCCTAACTACCCCATCCCCCAGTGGGCTTGCCATGGGGATCACACTATGGGGAGAAGGGTTTTACAGGCAAGCCTCATCCACGACAGTGTCTCTAAAGCTTTGTGCTTCGGTGCAAAGCTTTTCAAGCCTGATGCACTTGTGCCTCGTAGGGGTAAAAATATCAAGACTCATCTCAGAGCTGCCAGTTCTCTTTCAACCCAGAAATTAACTAACATGGCAATTGGGCCTGGATGGGATTCTGAACTCCTGACATTGTCTCCTCCTAAGAATACAAATCTGTTTTACTAGGGTTACCATATTTCAGCAAGCAAAAAAGAGGACGGGAGGAGCCCCGCCCTAGCCCCGCCCCTGCCCCTCCCACTTCCCGCCCCCCCAGAACCCCCAACCCTCCCCCCGTTCCTTGTCCCCTGACTGCCCCCTCCTGGGACCCCTGCCCCTAACTGCCCCCCAGGACCTCCACTCCACCTCTACCCCGCCTGCCCAAAACTTTCTCC